CGTTCGATGAAACTCGAGCACGTCGTCGAGCTTCGCATCTGCGAGTTGCGCTTGCTCCGATCGAGGCACTAGCTCGTAGCTATCCTCCTCCCTATTGAAATCTGAGCCGTCCTCGGCTCGGGCATTGGTGAAGATGGCACGCATCTGGACGGACGGGAGGGGCTGAATCTGGTGAACGAAGGAATGCATCTGGTCGATCCAATCGTCGAACTCTTCGTCGACCTCGTCTTCGATGACATCACCGGGTTGAGCTGTGCGTCGAGAGAGACCGTCGGGGCCGTGCATTGTACCGGGGACGTGGACGAGCGTGAAATGAAATGTGAGAATCGAGACGATCCACCGGTTGATACTCGCGCTTGGTGCTATGTCCGGATTCTTCAGCATACCCTTGATGTACCGAGCATCGACTTCGACAATGAGGTTCCGAACGCCGATCAGGTAGAGTCGAAGGGATCGTAGTGCGCGGAATAGGCCGTAGATCTCGAGCTTCGGCTGTGAAAACCTTCGTTCGCGATCGTTGAGCGTAATCGAGCCGAACCTGCTGTAGTAACGGACTCGCGTGTTGGCTTCGTCGCACTGACAGAGGTGATATCCGACGGCGATGAACGACGTGTCGACTGCGAGAATGACGGGAGAGGGGGAATCATAACTAATTGCTCGGAGTGCGGGGGATGAGAGTAGCGCGTCCTTGAGGTCTTCCTGCGCCGCGATCTGCTCCGGACCGAACTCGAACTCGACGTCCTTCCTCGTGAGGCGCACGAGTGCGTCGGCGCGGTGAGCGAAATTACGGATGAAGATACGAACGACGCCGATGGTCCCGAGGAACGCTCGAACGTCGGATAGAGTAGCGCATGGACCCCAGTTGCGTATCGCAGCGACGCGAGAGTCGTCAGGGAGGCGTCCGTGAGGAGTGCAGCGATGTCCGACCACCATAATTTCTCGAGCGATGAGGACGCTCTTGACTCCAGAGAAGGTACCTCCGGCGTAGCGCATTCGAGTGACTATGCGATTCATGTTCTCGAAATGTTCCCATACGAAGCGTCGAATGCCGGGGTTCGAAGGGAGTCGCTCGTCGTCGTAGTCGGATTCGGGACCCTTGACGGGAACGTCGTCGACGTAGGGCACCGTAACGTGCGGAATCTCGGGCTGCAGGATGTAGGTGACGTCGTCGTGGAAGATCGGGACTGAGTTCGTCCAACCCATCGGGAGTGTGACCAGGCGCATGGCTCCGTAGGGTGTCTGGAACGTCGTTAGATCTCTCGAAGACTCGGCGATGAGTCGTTCGTCGTAGCCGACGTAGAGGTCGAGCATGCCGCCGCATGGTCTTCCTCCGAATTGTTCTGCGAGATATTCGGGTGTCGGCGGTACACCAGAATGTTGGATCGTGACTGCATTGAGGGGCTCGAGGGAATGGACGAGTCGAAGCGATTTACCGTCCTTCTTGACGACACAGAACCACCGCGATCGATACGATGAGTTCGATGGCTCGTAGACTCCGGCGGCGATCTTTCGCTTGATCACCGCGCAGACCTCGTTGTAGATCCCGGGCGGAATGGGGATATTCTTCTGCACCCAGGGCGTGTGAGGAACGACGGGGAAATCGATGGGGGGGAAGTACTCGGGCTTGAAGCATCCGCGCTCGTCGTCGGTCCAGGCGAAGGCTTCGTTGTGCAGGCACATGAAGTGGTGGAGGACTCGACGTTCTTCGGGGAGTAGGAAGTCGCCGTCGTGAAGCTTATTCGTTGCTTCGAAGCGTTCGAGTGTGTACCGACCGGTAGGTTTGAACGGCGGGGGGTCGGTCGAAAGCTTGGGCATGATG